TTTTTTTTTTTTTTTTTTTTTTTTTTTAATTTTAACGACGCTCACCTTTACAACGTTGGACGGAGATTTACTTTGACAATTTCCCACAGTTCGCCAAGTGGATGCAACGTAAAATGCCTTCTCCGTCGTGACATTGTTACCCTCTTCTATAACCTCTCTTACCAAAAAGTCACAAATATCCTAAAAACCGTAGAAATAATGTTGAAATATCGATAAAAAATTCTTAGAAAATAATTTCGTACGCGAGTAATTCCATCAGCAAGACTAATCGAGAAATCATTATATTTCAATTACAGTTGTACGTTTCATCATCTGTGTATCGAGTGCGTTCGAAGGGAAGAATGTTGAAAATGTTCGTTGAAAACGTTAAGAACAAGGTTGTTCTCGTCACCTGTTTGTTCGGCAAAGCTTCCTCGAGAAACGTATATCCATGAACTGCATGATACACGAGCGTAACGTCGTTTGAGGTTAAACCTGGTTCGAGTATCTTTTTCAAATGAATCCTGTCGGCCTTTGTCAAGTACGAGTTCGTCGACTGTAATATCTCGGTGGCCGAGAAGCAACTTGTCGCACCGATGGTCGCGACCAACAATGATACGACTGGAAAATAATTTTAGCAATTGAGATTCGATTTTGATTGCTCTTGGAATTTGCGATTCTTACGTCTCTCGCGTTGTAAATTCTCACGTGAAATGCTAAAATTCCGAGAATCGCGGAGGAACACGTCTCGCAAAGGAATACGTACCAACGTATTTGTCGCGTTCGATCGAAAATAAAGAATATAGAAGGAACGTGCAAACGTCGATACAAAGTTGATACCACGCGTGCAAGAATGCAGCGGTTGAAAGGCGAAAAACAGACGCTAAAAGAATACGCGTTGTAAAATGATAAAAATATCTACGGAGGCTTGTATATTGTATCGACTCGTGTACGAACGAAACATCACGAAATGGAATACATCGTTGAATGATACTCACCAACGTTCATCGCGAGAAGACGATCGAGAACGCCGGCTGCCACGTTGCCGTTCCGAAGAAAATGGCTCCTTTCCCATTGCGCGTGTTCGGAAAAATGGACGACTCCACCTACCGGAAGTAGTTGGCAAGATGAATACATATGGGAAGCATGCGCACAAATTGTACCACGATCCAATCTATCGTCCAATCGTGTACGGTTGTTTTAAACGCTATAGGATATCTAATTAGAACATAAAATACTCGCCTTCGAATCAAAGTGATATTTTATTGATGACGATAAGAACCGATTCCCTGCAACGTTTTTCTTTCAATATCGTGTAACGATTAAATATTTCAAACTATTGATTAATTTTTTTTATTGAAAACGACGCGTTAAGAAAAAAAGCTAAAAAAATTTATCGTAACTATATATATGTATGCGTGTGTATATTCGTACAGGCCTCGAATTAAAAAACTGAAAAATTTTAATCGTGTTTCAACATACACGGTATAGAAATACGGGTGATTGGAATTTTTTTTATATTTTATAAACGCAACGTCCGATTGGATTTCTGAATCTCGGTTTGAAACATCGCGTGTAACGGATAACCGATTTTTATGATTGACATTTCGTGCAAAACGAAATATATATGTATATATACACATACGCTATTTTTTTACAGTATCGATTAATTTAATAAAGCGTTTGATTTTCTTTGAATTGGTTTTCGGGAAAACTCGTCAACGACGAGTCTGCGTGTGATCGCACGTACGATTAAAATCGTGTCGATCGTCGACTTTGTCTTTATAATTGTGGAATTGCGGTAACGACACAACTGTGGTACGGTATGGATTACGATAATGACAAATAGATGATAATCTTGATTGTATTATCAACATCGATGATGACGACGATGGCAATGGTAATAAAAATAACAATAATAATAGTAATCGATAATAGTAATGATAATAATAAAAATAACGAGAATGAAAGCGATAATGGTGTGTCATTATACAGTGAGGTGTCGTACCGTGTCACCTTATTCGGAAATGTGTACAAAACTTAAATATAACGATAATTGGATCTGTATAAAACAAACGTAGCTAAACGTACACAGAGTTTCGTGTATAGTGTTTGTGAAAACAGGGCGTGTGTTTCGTGCAATGATTAAGACTTGATCCAAGACTTGATTTAATGAAAATTGCACGACTTTTTTTTTTTTTTTTTTTTTTTTTTTTTTATCAATACGCTTGTCTCTCCTTTTGATATACATACATACGTACATTGAATTTGACATTCCTATATCAATCGCATATCATACTCTCAGCAGTACGTTGTTAAATTGAAACCGTATTTACATATATTCGTCGTTGTAACGTATCTAATGAGTTTACAATTTTCAAGTAAAATTCCACGTCGCTAGCAAGCGAAACAAAAATAATCGTACTTGAACGAACAACATTGATAAAAGGAAGAAAACAGAACAGAGAGAGTAAACTGAAATTTAATGGAGCGGAGGATAATGCGAGAATAATAGTAATAATAGCAATGGTACGAGTGAATCGATATGCGTTGATCGTGTAACGCACCGAGATTATCGACGTGTACGTACAAACTTGAAATAAACATCGGAAAAAGGAAAAATGCGAGATCGCCAATTTTCGGTTCCCCAACGATTGAACTATGCGTCAAAGAATCTACGAATTACATTGCGGCGTAAACATTTGATTGCTCCAATGAAACACTGCAAAATTAAATTATTTACGAATCGTTAAAATACACGATGTACATGTCAATCGTACAAAAAAATGTACAAACGTGTCGATGGAAAAAATAAAGTTATTGGTTGGTCGTAGATTCTTATAATTTATATATATATATATATATATATATATGAGAGTGTGTGTGTGTGTGTGTGTGTGTGTGTCTGTGTCTGTGTGTGTCTTCATATAGTATATATACGTTT